GGCGCGGCTGGACCAAGTAGCGCGCACGGCGCCGCTCCACACCGCTCCGCACAGCACGGCACAGCACGGCGCCGCACGCTGCCACACAGCCCGCTCTTGCCCGTACATATCTCACACGTCCGCAGCAGCAACAACATTCGTTTATATGTTAACAGCAACCATCATCAATCAATTTGTTATTCTGCAGTACAATTAGCTAGTTCGCTTTATATGCCATGCCGATGAAACAAGAATACTTTGTAACGCGTGACTTAGTAAAAATCTGAATCATTCCGAATAGTAAGGAATAGGAATACAAATGTACACTAAATCCTAGTCACCGCAACGAGTGTAGCTCAGAGCGATGCCTTGCGCCTGTCCGCACATCGATGCGATTGTCGCTAGTCAATTATCATCTTACTGTAAGACTACATTTCTTTGACTATATTTTTTATTCGTATTTGAATATCGACTATAGATTTATCTGTAACCTCGCGTAAATTGTTAACATTTATTTCAGTCTACTTTTGTATCTGTTAATATCCGACTCGAAGGACCAAAATGCGTAAATCATACAATATCATTAATATAACTACATTTATTGATATTTTTATATACTTTCCGTTAAAGTGATCATTCATATACATTTTTAATTTACTTTGGAACAGTATTAAAACTTAAATTTACTGCCAAAGACAGTTTGTGATAGCATGGCTGACTCCGACATATGAAATAACATTTCCACGTAGTTTTATTATGTCTTTTACATTTACAATCATGTTCAGATAATAGGGTAGTTAAAGAATTATATGGAACTCAGATCAAAATATTTTAAAGACATTGTTTTTTTGTATGGTGTTCAGTATTTGTTATTTTCCAAAACATGGTTACTTAAGTAAACTCTATAATTAGATAGTGAAATTTGTAAATAAATTAGCAAATTTTTAACAAAACATTTTTGTTTTATGTTTTTTTTTTGTATTGTAAATAAATTGATTATATAACAACTGTTGTTTTAATCGCCTACAAGCAGATATTTATAAAATACAAAGATATAGTAGCTTGCAGATAAAGTAAGTACCGGTGACTTTTTTTTTTCTATGCCTAGTTTATATACTTCTTAAATGTCTGAAAAAATATAAAGACGAGGCATAGTGAACAAAGTTTTTTTCACCGATACTTTCTATGGAAGGTGTACAGGTGTCAAATTTAGTGCCACCTCTTGTCCTTGTATCACATGTAATAAAATATTTTTAACGTTAGTGATAATCTGATGACAATGTAGTGGAAAATGTTTCAAGCGAAGAATCAACTATGCCTCTTGTATATATTTTATGAATCTCGGCCCACAAGAGACGGTTGTCATTTTATGATAACTAGAGGAAGGAAAAGCGCAGAATCGGATAAATAAAATTACAAAGTTTTAAAAACAGTGTATATTAACAACAAAAAAACTTGTACATTCTAACAAATTCGTATAAAATAAATTAAGACTAGAAAACAATACTGTAAACGTATAAAATATAACTTCCATCCCGTTCACATCATTATGATTCATTTTCTTTGCTTCTTAAACTCATCTTGACTTTGTCGTGGCGACTTTCGTGTCGCTGCGAGTTTCTCTGCGTGCAATCGCCTCGTTGTAGTAGCAGTAAGTGTTGTCAACTCTTTAATACATGGCCTAAACTACAATAAAAGCCTTGCTCTAAATAATGTTACGTTACAGTATCATTTCATTTACATCAGTCTTCATTTTAGCAATATCGTGTATGAAATCTGTGACACGTACTCGAGTCACTGGGACTACTAGAGTGATGTTGGATTCAGCAACAAGGCATGTCACGGGAACATGTGTGGTGTGTCAGTGTCAGTGTGAGCGTTGGTGCCAGCGCGCGTGCGCCGCGTGCAGCGCGTGTCGCG